CTCTCTACCAAAGCCTCTAAGATATTTAGAATGCCATTTTTCCACCCCCACAAAGGCAAACCTGAGAAAATCAGGTGGAAGGAAGACAGTGGCTCTTGGGAGCCCAGGTGCTAAGCACCCATGCTAGGAGGTATGCTTGTGTTCTCACAGAGGAGGGAGAGCATTTGTGCATTCCTCTTGGGCGATGACAGCCAAGGACCACCTGGCCTCAACTGATGGCATGGCATGAAGAGGCCTCCCACCTCCTTGGCCCCGGTCATTCAAACCTAAGATGGGCCCTAAACAATGGGATTTATGGATAATGCCTTTAGCCACAAAATCTATGGCAGAATATATAGGGAATTCAGCAGCCACCAGCTGGTCTAGTTCCACTAATTCTTATACTAGAAATGAGACACAGAATAGTTTCTCTATATCTGTTGCCATATGTATTTACTGTCAGGCACATCATGATAAATGAAACTGCACCACTTTTCTAGACTGTCGATTGTATACATGTCTTAACCATACACTTTTCTAAAGACAGCATTCACATCTTGAGAACTGACGGGGGGTATGGGTCCTGGTGAAACTGGACCGCAGGTGGGAAGACAGTCCAGAAGCCTCTTTCCTGGTGCAGATAGTAACAGAAATGTTGAAAAGACCTCGCCACTTTATGAGGATGTTGACTGATGTCATCCTGGGACTTACAGTCATTGCTAATACCACTGCTATCGCTGGAGTGGCACTCCAAGAATCCATCAAAGCTGAGCATTTTATGCAGAAATGGCAAGCCAACTCCCACCAGCTCTGGTCCACTTAAGCAAAGGTGGACGAAAAGTGACCAGGAAATTGGCTGTTCAGTGGTTGGGAGATCAAATAATAGACTTACAACACCAACTGATACTTAAATGTGATGGGAACATTACAAATTTTTTTGTCATCCCTTACCCACATAATTAAACTTTACGTGATTGGTCCTTAACTAAACACCATTTAAAAGTACTTAAAGGGAACATCTCAGTAAATATTATCCAGCTGAAGAAAGAAAGGGTCAATGCCTCAAGGAATGGGTTAGAAACATCTTCTGACACTGACATGTTAAACAGTTGGTGAATGGGCTCGATACCTTGACCCCTGGGCCTGAGTACAGAGTCGTATGCATAGTATGGGCTCTGGTTTCACTGTCTTAGTTATTGCTATGGTTTGTATTCTTGCAGTCTCCCGGTGTCTCTGCAGAAAGCTCAACAGAGCACTCATATTGCCTTTCTAGCCTTTTTGAAGTTAACACAGAAAACAAAAGGGGAAACTGGAAACTCAGGACCTGGAAGAAGGTATACACGGTCTACAACCAGCACTGTGCCCACAGGGCGTTTGGATGCCAAGCCCTAGTGTGAAGGCACTGCTTTCACAGGCCTGGGACCTGGGGGAACACTGTGGCACTAATTCCAGGAAGGAGGATTATCCACAGCACATCTGCTTCTCAAGAATGCTTAGATTAAGTGTTTTCCTAAATATGGTCATCTCTCCATGTACACAGAAAAAGTATGCTTATCTTAAAGAATATTCACTCCTCTTGTATGCTTTGTACTCCCTTTAATGCTTAGAATACTAAGATTAGTACATTGCCCATTGTTAGATGTATATAATTACTAAAAACCCATAGTTGAATAAACTCAGCACTCATCTCCAAGCTTGGACTTGAGTCCCCTGTGCCCACTTTCTTAATTTTTTTTTCTTATTTAATTGTGCCAAGCTCCTCAGGACCATTCAGTTGTGGGATAGGTCCCACAATCAATGTGTTGTATTTACACAATGGTGACAATAAGCTCAAAGGTAGGAAGAATCTTAAATGTGCTGGGACTGGGCAGTGTTTTCTTCTTTGTACATGGGGTTGCTGGGTCAGATTCTACCCAATGACACCTAACAGCAGTGGGATTGAGTTGTATACAATTGTTACAATGAACTAATCATAAGGTAATTGTTTGCCTTTCTTTGTATCTGACAAAATTCATAGATAATACACATTGGCTTACTGTTTAAGAAAAAATAATATATGTATTGATCACCTTTTAGAAGGATAAAAACATGACAATGTAGCATCCTCTTCAAACACAAACTTCACTAAAATGCAGAGAGGATTCAAATACCTGATTCTAAACCTCGGGAGCACAAACTCTGAACCACCCACTGCCTGGCAATTCAGAGGGAAAGAAACCCTGAAAAAGCAGAGAAGTCTTAGCTGGCCCAACAATGTGACTCTAAGGGATCCGGATTGGCAATGGGAGAGAGGAAAAGATGAGCTCACTCCTCGATCCCCATGCCTGCTCTGGCCCCAACACTTAATTTAATACAACAGAGGACAATGCACTTTTTCTGCCACATCCCTTGCATAAGCCAGCACTGGGAAGGACAACACTGGCTGAATGCATTCAGGGAGATATGCGTAGGGGGAGTGAAGTCCATTACATTCCTGGAGTCCTAGACTGGAGAAGGGTGGAGTCCAAACACCTGATCCTTGTCTGATAAGGATCACTTAAATTGACCTGAGGTTCTGCTCCTGTGCTGACATTCAACTCCATCAAATACAAGTTCATGTGGGTAGAGAGAGAGATATCCTTAGACAGTTTCTCTTTCCTCCTTTCCTGACAGCTGTTTCAATCACTGGCCTACATTTCCTGGCAAATGCAAAGGCCAACCTCAAGACTCCAACCTTGTTGTGTGTGTCATCAATCTTTGCCCAGAATAGGCGATTGCCACATGATCCAGCCACCCTTGAAATTTCAACTTTTACAACTAGAACACAGAGGATATTACTCATTCTAATATTACCAGACCAACAAATATAGACAAATTTTCGGCCCTTCTTTTTTCGGAACCACCGGGCACTTTCGTTGCCCTTGGAAAACCGGGAAATTCTTTTCCAAGGAGGAGGCTTTTGCTTGGCCCCTTTTTTGGTTTTTCAGATAAGAAAACATTACTAGACCTCCCCATGAAGTTAAGAAAAATAATGCTCAGTTGCTTTAAATAAATGGGAGAAGAATTCAACAGAACTTCAGAAAAAGACAAACCCGAAAATCAGAGGAGAAAATAAAATAACTTAGGAGCGTACTACACAAAGTAAATGAAAAACATAAGAAGGACTTAACAATCGCAATCCAAAAGACAGACACTAAGCTATTAGGACTAGATAACACTCTGAAAGAACAAAGCAGTAGAACTGAATAAATTAGAGCATCAACCTCTGAGCTGAACGATAAAGCTCACTAGTCCAAACTACAGGAAGAACATTCACATTAAAAACAGAGGTAAAAGAAGAAAAGACAAAGTAAACTGTGTCGTCTGGGTAGACTAGAGAAACAAATTCATAGATAATCATGTGTGTATGAGAAAGAACCTTATAGACAAGAGCAATTGAATATTGAGAAAACAACCCAGCCCAGTCCAGATTAAGTCCATAAGTCCATAGTATTAGCCCATATGTCTAATACCAACATATAAGTCCTCTTCAGACGCATGAAACACATGCAATGATGCCAAATGAAGGAAGATCACAGGCCAGTGGGTAGGAAGTCTTGTAGATCCAGTGTCATTGTAAGCATCTCAGTGTTGGCAGGGGTCTCTGCATGGCTCCTCCACCTCAGGGCACTAGTGTATCTCCATGTGTCCTGTCAGCTGCAATGTCTCCCAGGGAGTGAGCATGTGTCCCGCCTCCAGTAAGTTATTTATCTCCTTAGTGTCTCCAAATGAGGTCATCAAGCTGTCACCGAATCAGGTTTAGCCATCTGATTGACAGGCTAAACTCCACCCCTTCACTTGCAAGTCTTAAATTGACAGCAGATTATGTAACTACCACATAAACCAACTAATTCTACAGTAATTGTCAAAAGAAACAACTTATGTTTGATAAATATACCATCACAGTGACAATAGGTCAAGAAATATTGGAAGAAAAGTTTTCTAAAATCATGACAAAACAGAAAAGAACCATTTAAAAATTGAAAAAAAAAAATAAGGCAACTAGAATTTACCCCAAAAGAAAATTACTTTCAGCCAAGATCTATCTGACATCCCTTGTTCCACATTCTCTTCTGAATCCATCCTGAACCCATGGCAGCTCCCTGTCAATGTGCTGCTGCAATTGATATCAGATGATCTTCAACAAAATTTTCCTTGCAGGACCAAGATTGTAGAGGAGCTTTAATGCTAAGTGGAAGAAGTATAACAGATGGTGTTCATAAAATCCCAAAACAAGAATATTGTAATCAATAAATTTTTTAATTACTAAAGAGCGTGCAACTGATTTGTGAGCTTTTGTAAGCATTCTTTTTAAAAATAGATGCTCAAATTTTGAGTTATTTACTTTGATTATTCATATTTCTTCAGATTACTACAATATTTAAATTTGGTTTTGGTTGATAAGTACCTTGGACCTAAAAGATAAAAATTTTGCTTTCTATATACATGTATTTAGAATCAATATCCCATATATAACAATATAATAATAATTTAGGCAACTATTTCTTTTCATAATCGCTCCAATTATCCAAGACCATTCATATTCATTTGTACCTAGAGAACAGTGCAGCCAACCATGAGGGTTCTCAAAACTCCTGGACAGCCTGAGTCACCTGAGCATTATGGATTAATCTGTTAGAAAAACACATGATAAAGCAACAAACTGTCCATGAGGGGTAATCTGAAGCCCAACTCCCTTGTCATCTTGCCCTTTCATTTCCCTGAGCATATATGTATTTCTTCCTGGACCAGGTGCCACTAAAACACGGCATAAATGCTTGTCTAAATCTGTGAACATTGTACATGTAGAATTCAAACCAATGTTACAGTAATTTTTTTCTCAAAGTAGACATAAATTGGCAAAGAAATTAAGTTAATACATGAAACCAGGTGACGAATGAAGGTTCTCTGATGATTTTTAAGGAGCTGAGCCTAACATGAGATAAAAAAAACAACTAAGAAAAGTAAAACCCAAAGAACGGTTACAAAAAGCCAGCACTTACCCATATTTTGCAAAATTTGCCCAGCGTTTCATTATGGATCTACTCAAAATTTCCTCAGCTCTCGTGTAGCTCACGTTTCTTTCCAGAGGTAAACCAAAAATAAACTCAATTTCATAGCCATGCATCACTCCCATCCATTGTGGCCAAGGAAGTTTGGAGGACTGATGCTCAAAGTAATAGAAAAAGGTACTTTGTCCCAATTCTGAGAACTTTCTGGCAAACTCCAAGGCAGAACATATGAAATTGTAATCTCCAATAACATCATCTAAGGCCTCCCGGTAATGCTCAGGTCTCTGGTCATCCAACCAATCTGTATAGTGGAAAAGGATGGCTTCCTTTGCTACGTCACTCACTCCTGGGAAAAACAGTCTTAAACCTTCTTGAAACTGTTCTCTACTTATGATGCTGTTGTTATCTTTGCTAAAGCCAGGAGCCCCGTACACCAAGAACGCTGTGCCCTCATCTTTATTCACACCTACCAAGAGCTGGGTCTGTTTGACTTGTCCAAGCTGGAGCAAGGTGTCCGGCATGTCCGTGAGAAAATCCCCATCCACGGTTGGGCCAAAATTGACTAACAAGAGAGACTCAAAAGAGACAACAAATACTTCATTCAGAAGAATTTCCTGGGGCTCTTTATTTTGAAGGCATTTGATGATCTCAGTCTCATTTTCTCTTGAGCAACCAAGAAATTTCGCTAAGGTCAAGGTTCTGTTTCGGGCTTCATAGGGAGACGTTACTGCCCAAGGGGCATTGGGGGATCCACTTTGCAGGATTGCCCTGGTGAAGAATGGGTGGCTTCGTGGAGACAGCAAATGAAGGCCGACAGAACCTGCTCCTGCACTTTCTCCAAAAAGAGTTACACTCTTAGGATTTCCACCAAAAGCTGCTATATTCTTTTGGACCCACTCAAGTGCCAATTGTTGATCAAATAAACCCATGTTTCCTGGTGCTTCAGGATTTCCTGGCAAAGCTAAGAATCCTAGGGCACCCACCCTATAGTTCATTGAAACGACAATAACTCTTTCCACACGAGCCAGAAATTTGCCATCGTAAACATGTAAAGATGATGTCCCCGTTTGAAAACCACCGCCATAGATCCATACCATTACCGTGGCATTTTTTGGTTTAGGTGCTGGACTCCAAACATTTAGATATAAGCAGTCTTCACTAAGGTCCGTGTTTGGGTTCCACATCTCTGATCCAAGGAAGCCTGGAAAACTTTGGTCTATGTTCTGATAACAAGAGTTTGCATATTTTGTGGCATTCCAAATATTGGACCACTTTGGGAGGGACTGTGGTTTTTTGAATCTAAGTCTACCAATAGGCGGCTGTGCATAGGGAATGCCAAGAAAGGCTGTCACTGCGCCACCAAGAACTGACAAGTTCATGCCCCTCACTCTTCCACTCTTTGTTGCAATGACGATGTCTTCTGCAGTTTGTGACTTCTTGATAAAAATACAGAAGAGAAGAAGCCAGAAGAGAAATTTGATGCATATGATTGGGTCCTTGCTTTGCATATTGATTTCTGGAAGGGGTAAAGAGGAAATCTTAGCATCCTAATGCATATATAATTTATTGATTTTATATTAATACCATACTTCTTATTGGTAATACAAATTATTAAAACTAGTAAATCTATTACCACAATAAATGTGTATGTAGGAAAAATAGAAAAGAGTAGAATGTCTTTTTGTATTTAATTTAGAAAATAAATAAGGGACATGGGAAAGTAAAAGAAAAATTTCACTCTGGGAAAATTATTACCAAATTTCTTTTAGCAATTATTAGTATTTTAGTAATTTGGGATGCATGTATTTTGGGGATTAGATTAGATACACAGAAACAAACACTTAATTCTTACTCTCCACCACTAACAAGTTAATTCTGAATAAGCAAGCCTATATAAGTTAGCAACCTTTATGGAGGGAGAGACCCTCATCTTTCTCCCATAGAGTGGCTGTTGGTTTTGAACCACTGACCTTCTGATTAGCAGTCCAATACTTACCTTACCTTACAGTGCTACTAGAGTTCCTTAAACATCATTTGCTAGGAATATATGATATTACTCTGGAAATAAAGAAGAGGTTTGAGAAGTCTCACTTTAGAGGAAAACTGGAGAGGAAGTCAGAAGAAAATATTGCAATCTAGATAGAGACACAGTTTTTGGTTTTCAAAAATCAATTTAATAGACTTATTCACAAGAAGAAAGAGTGTCCATTGCAACAGAATATGACTCATCCTCTATATATACACAGCCCCAACCAATGTGACATTAAGAGGGACTGAAAACTGATCAAAGGGGGAAATATAAGCATGTATATTATCTGAAATATCTGTGACTTTAATCTTGGTGTGGCTCTTGAAAAAACTGTGAAGAGCCCATCCAATTATATATATACATATATATGTGTGTGTGTGTATATATATATACATATATATCCTATTTATATACATATATCCTATCATTTGGCTTTTCTGTTTCCATGGTACTTTCGATGGGCATTTTCACCCAATAATTCCTTCTTTCCTACACTCCTAGTCCATGGTCAGGAGAGAATATGCATATTCTTCTTATAGAAGGTTAAGTTAAAAAAATAGTAGTTGTTTATTCTGCAAGTTATAAAGACTAATAAGTATGTTACCACAATAGAAATTTATGTAGTTAAAAAAAATAAGTGTTGGAAATACACAGACCTATGCATATTTATTCCTTGGGATAAATGTCTGCTTTTTGATCAGAGGGTATTTATCATAGTAATCTTAATATCAGAAGACCAAAGCTGCATAAACACCAGAAAAAGTAGGGGAGGTAAAAGTAATCATTGTTTAACCCAAGCCATAACTCTTTGGAATTTTATTATCTAAATATAACTTTACTTTATCATATGAAGAGAGTATTAGGGCAATCAGGCTGTGTTACAAAGCAATGATGTTTACTGGAGTTTCTGTTAAATAATAATAATTTAAAAATTAAATCAGACTCTGAAAGTGTCATGTAAACAAAAAGAGATAAAATTATGGAAATGTAGTTGAACACTGAGAATATAGCTCACACCGAAAATAGCCAGTCTAAAGCTATTAAAAATTCTGATTGGTACTCATATAACAATAACAAAATCATCAATGCACAGTACTTCCTTTACATTTTTCCTGCAATTGTGATTTTAAATACAGTCTACCTTAATCAGGATATAATTCTGTGAGCATTGACATTTGTATCTTATTTGTTTTTTATTCAGCTGGTCTTAGAAGTCAGATGATAATGAGCTATCTCTATAATAATGACCAAGAATTAAAATATTTTATCATTCTTAAATCAAATTATTTCATCTCTGATCATAGTACGCCTAGTGGTCCACAAGTGATTTTTGGCCCCAATAAATCTCTGAGTAAAATAAATCATAGCTCAGAGTATTTTGTTCATTGTTGAGCTTATGGATGTAAATCTATATATACATATAGAAATATATTAAGATATATATATAGTGGTTACCATGATAAGAAAGCTTTTTTTCTCAAGTGATATGATCTTTTTTCTTAGTTTGACAAATTTTGTTTTGTGCTAAGATAAAACAATAGATTACATAAATGCATAATATTTATACTATATTTCTGTTATATGATTTATAAATTATTAATAGAATAAATTAAATGTATTACATGATTAAGCAATAAAATGTAACAAGAACATACAGATACATGTCTTTGTAATAGTTGCTAAAAAACCTTTTTATTTCTGACAGCATATAATTTATACAGACAAAGTTGCTATTGATCTTTTTTATCCTGATAATTAATAATCCCATTTTCCTTAAATAAATCAAGCTGGATATGTTGAGAGGAATGAAATGCTATGAAGAATACTTTTAATATCTATTTTTTAAACAAAATAGATATTAAAATACAAAAGTGGCTTGCTCTAAGGTGTGATGCTAATAAACTAACCTGCAAGGTCTCCTCATTGTACTTGGTCTGAGTCAATGTTTCTCTACGTCTCATACAATACCTAGAATATCTACTGTAATATTTTCTGTTGTTATAATTAAATATTATTTTAGCTAAGTAAGCCAAACATTCAAGTATTTTATCCCTAAAAAACTTCTAACTTTATTTCTACAAATTGTATTGAAAAATAAGCATACTCATTGCCAAAATATCTCTAACCTGGCATTTAATTAAGAACTATATTTTTTAATACATTCATAGGTAGGTGCTATAACACTTGAAAAGGCTGTCATGTAATTCTGATGTCTCTTAGTGTTTACGTACACCAATGCTTCTTGTGATCTTTAATTAATTTAATTTTTTTTTCACTGAATAGATATCAGTGCCAGCGTTTTTTATGTGAATTTTTTTCAATATGGATATCTGTGAATTGTCATCTTGTATACAATATAAGTAAGTAACATTGACAGCAATCATCGTAAATTATGAGCTCATTTCAAGAATGGCAACATTTCAAGAGGGGCGGGCGGGGAGGGTGGGGGAAGAAACGGGGAGCTGATATCAGGGGCTCAAGTGAGAAGAGAACGCTTTGAAAATGATGAGGCGGCAAATGTCCTGGACACACTGGATGAATGCAGGGATTGTGATAAGAGATGTCAGAGCCCTCAATAAAAGTATTTAAAAAAGAAAGAAACAAATGGCAACATAATTCCAACATATATTAATGCTACCTGTTGGGGAATGTTCTGTACTATAAAAACCAATAATTTAATATTAAAATATAAGTTTGGCCATATTCATATTTTATAGTGACCACAGACATATACTAATATTTTATATAACATCATTTATAGTTTATATTTTATTTAAATAAACATCACTGTAATTCCCATAATTTGATCTTTGCTGCTCTAATATATTACAAATAGTTTTTCAATAACATTAGTTTATAGTATATGTGTTCACATTATTAAAACAATCCTGTAATCAAAACTATAAGAACAAAATAAATAGAGATGGAGAAAATATGTAAACCTATATTGATAATGAAATTGCTCCAAAAAAACTTATTTGGTTTCCCACCTTTCATAAATTATTTAAATTCTAATAATATGCTTGTCAAAGAACTTTGGTGTTATAGTGGTTACCTGTTGGGCTGCTAATCACAAGGTCAGCAGTTCAAAACCACCAGCTAGGAGATAGGACTATGAAGTCGTCTCTTAGAAACCCGCAGGGGCAGTTGTGCTCTGTCCTCTGGCTAACAGTCCATCAGAATCAACTGGGCAACAGCGACTTTGGATATTATATGCTTGTCATAAGGAATGGAGCAACATGTCATCAGTAAAATTCAGCATCAGATTTCCAAAAAATGAAATATTAACATAATGCTTATTATTTTAAAGGAAGGAAGGAACTTGCAATTACAAAAGAAAATGGATTATGGGGCTGTGTGGGCAGAAAATTGGAAGTGCAAACCAGTAATACCGTATTATAAGTTTACATACAAGCATTTTAAGAAAACACCCTAAAAGTTGTATACAACTTAAAAAGTAATGTTTCATATTTTAATATATAATTCAATTTTGAAAATAGTACCATTTGTTATCCAATCAATAGAAGATACCTATACTGTTATGCTGTAAGATAAGGATATCAAACAATGATTGCTATGAAGAGTCATTTATTTATATTTAACCCCCATAATGGAACAACTAACATATTTTTAAAATAATTGCTCAGAAATTTCTTAGAGGATGATCCAAATTCTTTTAACAGTTCTCAGTCTGGAATGCTTTTTTTTTTGGGGGGGGGTGTTTGACTTTCATATCTACTAAAAAAATGTAATGAAGTATTCATTCCCATTTGGAAAAAAAAACAACCTCCTAAAAAGTTCGGGGGAAAGTCACATAAGTAAATCTAATATGATCTAGAGCAGTTGCCACCAAAATATATTCCATCAAATTAAAACAATTAAGCTTTTATCCCCAAACTAAAAAGCTTGCTTTGTTGCAGGCTAAATGAAGGGTGGAATTGAAGAAGTTTGTTTATAAATAGACTGGACCATTGGTTTTCAAGCCTCTTTCAGATACTGATTAAGCACTTAAAGGCTATATACAATATAAGACAATGCATCTGGTGCCATGGCACAGGAATTCTGTAACTGTTTTCTAACATGAATAATATTCACAAGCTTTTCACTCTATGAGTAGCATTGAATTCGAATATTCCACTATTAGCGATATTCCTTGCCTTGGATGACACTTTACACTGGTTTTAAGTTGTCACGCATTCAGTCCCACCTCTGTAACATCTGGAAATACAATTTTGGTAAGAGGAGGTGAGCGTTGTCATGAAAATACCAAACAGAAAGAGAATATTTCAATAGGTATTAAAACTTTGTTAAAGCATCCAATCAAAAGCAGACATAATATGTATAAATAAGATGTGGAAGTCTAAGGTAGTATTCACTTATATTTAAGAAAGTGAACAATAAAGAAGTAGGACATAAAAAAGACAACATAACCACTAGCAGACAACGGAACTTTGTAAATGCAATTAGAAAATGTAGTTGGCCTCTAAAAGAATATTGTATTTCATGTCTAGAGTGACAAGTCTAGAGTTTCATTCTAAATTATAAAGTCGGGTTTTAAAATATGGTTTTAGTTATTTATTTCAATAGCAGGAGATACATTAAGAAAGGGTTTACAAAGATAAGTCTAATGATTTCTAACTTTATGATAAAGTACATTAATAACAATTTAAAATACTCATAAAACTTTAAAATATATAAATAGAAGCATAACTAATCAGATGGCATCGATAATATTTCCAGTTAGTTTAAACAGCTTAAATATTAATATGCTTAATGTTTAATTCTCTATTTAAATATAAATGAATACTATTAAAATAAAGGTAGATTTAGGAGATGACAGAGAAATTAAAAGTGTATTTGTTGGTATTTTTATAATAACATGTGAACTATGTTACTATAATTTAAGAACATATAAAAACAAAGAAGACAAAAAGTGCAAAAGTTTGCAGTAAACAGGTTTCCCTTTTCAATAAAAGGAACTCACATCTTTTCATTCACCAATCAATACTATGAAAGTTTCAAATGACAAAGAGTAGATTAAGAAAAGTATCCTATTAAGCCACACAATAGGAATTCTATTCTTTTCTACCATTTAGAAAAAAGGGAAGATAAACAGAAAGGAGCAAGGCTGGTCAAAGACTACTTTTGTTATTCTTTTAGGGAGTGATTCACTGAGCCATAGGGCTAAAACTCAGCATGGAATGTTTTCTACTTTGCTCTCCATCAGAATATGCTTCGCGGGGACGCCACCGTGTTGCCGTCTGCATCATTTCTTCAGCAGTTAAACGGACTTAGTCTGCGTTCCCTATATCATAAGAAGATATGTGCCTACTCCGTTGCTTCTTTGGTCCTATTTGCAAGCTTCGGTGACTGTCCCCCACAGCGCATTCACACAGTAAATCCCTGAAAGGATCACAATCCTACAGAATGCGCTGCTTCACAGTGACTTCAGCTACACAAAGATGCAAATTCAGAGAACTTACCCGAATTGGTGAAACAAAGATAATAAAGTTTGCAAGGAGTTGAGATCATTTAATACTTCAGGGAAATTCAGGATGCAGCCGCTGCTCTAGTCTGTAAATTGGACTGCATTGACATTACAATCAACTGTTACTGACAAAGCTCGCGAGAGTTGGCAGCCGCTACTTGATCTGGAAGCAGCCAATCTTTAGTTTCTGACATCTGTTCATAGGCTAATGGCATGAATGCAATAGAGATTCGCTTACAAAAAGTATTACCGGTTTCCTGCATGAGGATCTAGGCGCTTGTGTCAGAGGGAAGTAAAAAGATAAAGCTTCTTTTACAAAAAGAATCTATAAAATTTCATAGAAAATGTAATTTTAACACTAACCCAACATTTTATTTTTAGCAGAGCTTTTATCTCTTTTATAGAATGTAGTTTTACAAGTTAAATATATATATATATGGATATGGATATTTCTAAAGAAATGCTATTATTGAAATAGTAAAAGACTGAATAGTTTGAGTGTGAGCAAACTTTTTTTTAGTGCTTTAAACTTTAAAACACACAGATATAAGAACTGCAATTTGTTATGATTGCATTTTTTATACTTATTATAATGGTCATTTTACATAAACTATGTTATTTTATTCCAAGGATATATAAGTATTAAACATGTTTTGCCAATGAGGAAAGTAAGGGTTATAAAAATACGAACTTACTATTCGCCCTACAACTAGTATTTTTTGGAGACAGAATTTTCACCTAACCATGCAAGTTGTCTTCAAGAGTAATCACTGATTTTTTTAAAATGTAATTTTCTGTGAAAGTTGCTATTTAAGAGATACCTATTAAATAATCAATTTAACAATCACAATTATTTTCAGTGTATTTTAGAATAATATTTTTTGTTATTACAACCTAGTTCTAAATGATTTATAGAAGGCATGGTCACTCTGTCTATCGGACAGGGTACAGAGAGCCATTTTTTAAAAAGACAGCCTGGCAATGATGCAATAGTTTATAAAGCTATGGTGTTTCTCTTATAAAATGTAATCATTTTGGTAGTCTATGAAAGAAAGCCACATGGTTAAATAGTTGTAAAATTTGTAATTTCCAAATATAAAGCTTCTCTCCAACAAATACCCACTGCATTGTTTTTGTAGAATCTAGTTGATATTGTCATCGGATTCCACAATTTTTTCAACTTAATGAGTTTGGCAGAAAATTTTTCAGTTTTCTGATATTAATTTACCATATCATACACTAACATACACATATCATAATATATATTTATCATATACACATAATAGACATACATACATGTATATATATGCACACATGCAAAAAGTATTGCTACAAAATAATAGTAAGTTTTATTAAACAAAAATATCTAAATGTGAAGCTGTTGTTTCCTGGTGTATCCTCCATCTAAGCCTGTATACATCTCAAGGTAATATTTCCATCTCTCTAACCCTTCCCAGAAAACAGGTCTCTTGATTCACAGCACGTCAAAATAGTAGTTTTGGCATCCTTAAAGGACTTGAGTTGTTTTCTTTTTTCAATATTCTTTGAATTGGGGAGCAAAAAGGAGCCTAAGATGAAGCGTAGGCGGCACAATTTCTCAGCAAACATCGAGCAGGGTGGTGCTGCTGCTACCGGAGCAGAGTAAGCACGTGCATCGTTTCTATGGGGACAATCCCTTCACCAAACTTCCGTGGCTTTTTTTTCACTAATGCGATTTCTACTATTTTAAAACTTCATCCCAACAAGTTCCAGTGATTGCACTTGTCCTAAGAAAATCTATCAATATGCTAACTTTAAGCTCCCCAAAGTGCTGCTATCTGCTTCTGACAGTGATTTTTCTGCCCTTGTTTTAATTGGTCCATCAGATCCTTTAGGAAGCCACTGTTTTGGCTGGATATTAATAAAAAACAAATACTTAAGGCACCCAATTAAAACGGAAGGGCAGTGAGTTTGAGCAATTTGAACAAGAATGCGACAAATACATCACTGAGAGCATTTGTCTGCGGCTATCCAGTCATTGCTGAGACGTATGTTTGGTTTGCATTAAACGTGCATCTATGAACTGGAAGCTATATATAATTTTTACTCATCTTCATATATGAGGGTATCATACATATATACTCCCATATATGTACACATACTTTCTTTTCTGTTTATACATTATACTAAATCATAGGATAATCCGTACCAATTACATTTTCTTTTACATCAATTTTGTTCCAATATGTTTTCTAGCAACATTATCTGTTTTAGAAACCTCACACTTGTCCTCTGCTCCATGTTTTTGCTTCTGTGAATCATCTCTACTTTCTGTTCTTAGTTAATCTTTGCTCATGCTTTTCAAGCTGTGTAACCTCATTTGATCTTCTTTGGCGCATACCTTCTCCCTGGTTTCAGTTCATTTCCTTCCTTTGCTATTCAACCTACAACAGCTGTGTCATTTCTGTGTTGTCATCATTTTCTCAACACCGTGGGTCCCCTGTGTGAGATGTGGGTCGCACACAGGAGTTAGGCATCAGAGTTCGTGGACAAATGGCATTCCATTACTTCATAGTCCTGACATTTAATAATCATATCATTAAGTTGAGTGTGCCTTGGAAGTGACACTGATGAAATACCACATGACATTTGACACGGATCTAGGAGTATGTTCAAATTTTGTAACCATATATTCGGAAGCTTAGACAGGACAATCGTTCTGATCTTGATTTTGTTCTTTTATGTTTAGTCAGTCATAGTGGCTTTTTTATTTGGAGGTTTTATTTTGTTAGTTACCAGTGGGCTGAATGTTTTCTAAGTATCAATCTGAAAGGAAATATGAGACAATATGGGAAGAATTATTATATTAGACATCATTTTCTTTTATGTATATTAATTATCACAAAAGTGCCCTGATCTGTCCTATATGGAGGTTTTTGGTTTTCTTATAAAGTTTTTATTAAAATAACATTTTTATGAAAAAAAATAGGCAATATAAGGTAAAGTGTATTTCTACATTTTATATGCCATGGTGGAAAGAAAAAGAAAAAGAAAGCATACAACATTTTTGTCTTTTAAACTGAGCTTATTTAGGGATTTGGTTATAATTTTATATGAGGAATAATGTTATTAATTATAATTTGGTTTCCTTCATTTTTACTTCCTGATATTAACTACTATTAAAATTCCAATAGCAGTAATATTTTGTTTTATAGTTTACTACACAATTATTTGATGATAATTATTGTAATGGGGAAATAGTTTGACAATTCCAGCAAATTTAAAACCTCATCATTATGGTTATGATAGGTACATCAATGAGTTAATTTGTTTGTATTCCTTCTTCTTCCCCCTTTATTTACTGATTTTATCCAATACTTGATATGTAGTACATTAATATATTTCAAATGGTTAAAATTTAAGGAAAGATTATGCTGACCAAACTCTAATCCCTTGTGCTCACTACCAATATCACCCAATGCAAAGCAAAACAAAAGCAAACACACACAATAAAAATAATAATAAATAAAACATGTGATGACTCATAGTGATGCAATAGGACAAGGTAGAATTGCCCTATTCCATTTAGAAAGCTGTAAATACTTGTGAAAGGAGGTGTTCACATCTCTCTTCCACTAATCCCCATGCTATCCTTGTTCGGTGCCATCAAGGTGGTTCTGGCTCATAGTGAACTTGTGAACCACAGAACAAACATGGCCTGGTTCTGCATCATCTTCACAATTGTTCATAGGCTGGAGCCCATTGTTACAGCCACTGTGGTAATCCATCTTTTTGAGGGCTTTCCTCTTGCTGCGCCTATACTTCTCTAAGCATGATCGCCTTCACCAGGGACTGCTCTCCTGACATGTCCAAAGTATGTAAGAAGTGTGCACAGTCTTGCATTTAAGGAGCACTCTGGCAACACTTCTTTCAAGACAGAGTTGTTTGTCCTTTAAGCAGTTCAAGGTAGTTTCAATGTTTTTCGTCTGGACAATTCAAATCTATTAACTCTTCTTTGCTCTGCCTTATTCAGTGTCCAACCTGCACATGCAGTTTATTGTACTGTGCTCGCTTGAGCGCTGCTTTGATGCTGGAGGCTATGTCCTGATATTTCAAATGTCAGCCTGAAATGTTCCAAAGTGAACAGGCTTCAATGGAGTTTCCAGACTCAGAAGAGTCTATGAAGAAGGAATCGACTCCCAACTTCAGATGAAATAGTAACTGACAACAATATATATAGCATGGAAAGATTGGCGGATACTGAAGGCTTAATGAATGGAAGCAAAGCATTGCTGAAGATAGTGTCAGAGAATGGGCCTCTTGTGTCAGAGGCCCTCAAAATGCGACAGGGAGGAGCTGCTTTCTCAAAGTAGAGTAGACCATGGTGACCTGAATGGAGTAAAGCTTTGGGGATCTTCATTTGCTGATGGGGCACGACTCATGGTAAAAAGAAAAAGCTGCAAATATCCACTAATTGTAACTTGAATGTATAAATAAGAATCTAGGATAATTGGAACTTATCAAAAATGAAGTGGAACATGCAATGATCCATATCCGAGGTTTTCGTGAACTGCAATGGACTGGTATTGGCCAGTTTGTGCTGGGAATGACATAAGCAAGAGGAATGGCATTGCATTTATTGTCAAAAGGAAATTTCAAGATCTATCTTGATGTACAGCATTGTCTGTTAGAGGATTATATCTATTCTCAATCAATACAACTACTGTTCAAAGTTATGTACCAAGAAGAAAGATAATGATGAATAAATTGAAGGGTTCTACCAATGTCTTTAGTCTGAAACTGGTCAAGCATGCAATCAAGATGTATTGATATTTATTGATGGTTGGAATTGAGAAATTGGAAATGAAGAAGTAGCAGAAGCTAGAAAACATGGTCTTGGTGAGAGAAACAAAGCTGGAGTCACATAGTAGAACTTTGCAAGACCAATAACTTTTTCTTAGAAAAGACCTTTTTCCTACAACACAAAAGGCAAATATACGTAGGGATTTGTCCAGATGGAAGAGTATGCACATCAAATTGATTACATCTCTAGGAAGAGGAGAGGGAGAAGCACTATCAACAGCTAAAA